AAATTCTTGTCTAACAGATAGATTCGCATCTCATCACTCAGATCATATGCTCCATCTCGCATGAACCAATTCATATCAAACGTGTTCTCAAGTAGATCATTTAGAGGAATGTTGCCTGGATTCATCTTGGCAAGATTTTGAAAAAATCGTTTGAAGAATGTGAGAAACCCATGTGCAAGCAAATACAACAACACTTCACCATTATACTTTAGACCGCTAGGATAGATGGCTTCGCCATCCATTGGATGTTTCAAAATCACGTACGGTTCATTGTCGACAAACCACCATCGATAATTTGCAGGAATCACATCGATCCAGGACTCAAGTATCTTTTCTTCATCTGGGATCAATACTTTTAGATTCTGTGGATTTTTAAATTTCTTATCGATAAACATGTTTATATTGTAACTAACTAATCATCAGAGCAACACAAGAGGATTATAAAGCAGGTATTTATGTTTGTTTCATATACAAATTTAGACAATATTAAATCTTGTTTAGCAAGAAAGCTTTATTAACAATATACAAATTTATATTTTCGAATTAACCATTCATAAATGAGGTTTGTGATTATCAATCTAGATTGTAATTTAGCAAATCATTAGCTTCAAAAGCCTCTTTCTTGGTCACGTTTGTATTCATGAGGATGCGATTGTAAAGTTTTAACGCTTTCTCTTCCAAGTTACAATCGATAAGATCCAAAACACGTTCGTAGTTTTTTGTGAGACCAGCTTGTTTCCACGGTCTCACATTCACATCTTCCTTGCTTGAATTATCTCGAATGTAGATTACAAGATCGATAAATTTTACAGTCTTTCCGATGGTAACTTTTTCATACAAGTCGGTCATAATTTGGTTAGTTAGCATATCATTCATACAAGCTTATTTAAATAAAACGAACAATAAATTTATTATATTTTGTTCATATTATCTTATCATGCAAACAATCTATTTTGTTTTTGAATTTGGTACACCTCGATCACGTCAAGTTGGCGGGTGCCGGAGCGGACTATGGTTGGTTTGTACACATCGGTTGCATACGTCCATTGGAATCCACTGATTTGCAGATCTGAGTTTCCAAACCCGGGTCCCCAATCTGGGTTGTTGGTTAGAGATCTTCCATAATTTATCGGTCTTGCGATCTTGTAATCCTTCAAATTCACAGCATCGATCAAGAAGATAAAACTATGGTATGTTTCCACTTCCTCACATTCATCCGTAGTTATGCTCCAGGATTTGGGATTGTACCCTCCATATATCTTGGAGAAGGTGTTATCTCTGCCAATGATCATGAGCGATTTCAAACCCTTGATCTTCTCATACAAGTCTCTTCCGGTCAATTTGGTCTCACATCGACTGGCCAAAAATATCAGTTCTAAACGTGAGTTGCGAACTTCTAACATCTCATTTATAATATCGATATATGAGGATCTAAGAATCTTTGAGATGTGATCGATGTTTGAGTATCTGATCCATCCGTACTGAGGAAT